GCATTCATAAATGGGTCCTGCTGAAGCAAGAGCCTGGATAGATCCTAAGTTTCCCCGCCTTCATCCTAACCAAGTGGTGAGAATCGATCCCCATTCTATTCCTAAGAATATGGCAAGATGGGCTATTTATACCATCCCTCCCAGGGGCAGAATGAAAGATGCTGAGTAACAGTAACTTTTAAAGAGCCAAAGTTTCTAATTTTGGTGAAGTCCAATTGACTTTTGCTTTTAAAGTTCACACGGTCGGTGTTGTATATAAGAAACCTGTGACAAACACAAAGACACTAGAATTTTCTCCTGTTTTCTTCTAGGAGTGTTGTATTTTTAGTTCTTACATTTACGCCTATGACCCATTAGGAATTAAACCTGATATATGGTGTGAAGAAGGGCTGGAGCTTTTAAAGAACATATCCAATTGTTCCAGGACTATTTGTTGAAAAAATGCTTCCCACATTGAATTGCCTTTCTACCTTTGCCAAAAACCAAGTGACCATATATGTGTAGTTCCATTTCCGAATTCCATAAAAGTCCATGTATCAATGACTACTTTTACACCAATCTCATACTATCCCGATTCCTGTAGCTTTGAGAACCAGGCAGCCACTTGAGCTGCCTTCCAGATCCATCGCTGAAGGGGGTTCACTGAACCACGGACATGCAGCCACAAAGGCAGTCCCAGATAAGCCCCCAAATTTGTGACCGCCCAAGGGGTTTGCCTTGACCACTGCCTAGACAGAGCCCATTCAAGACAGGGGAATTGCAATAGAAAGTAATTCACACAGAGCCAGCTGTGTGGGAGACTGGAGTTTTATTACTCAAATCAGTCTCCTCCTGTAGTTTTGAAATAAGCCTTGTGTGTAGTGTGACCTCTCCAAATTTGTTATTTTTAAGTTGTTTTAGCTATTGCAGGTCCTGTGCTGTTAAAGACAATTTTTGAGACAGGGTCTTACTGTGTCACCCAGGCTGGAGTGCAGTGACACAATCACTGCTTACTGCAGTCTTGACTTCCCGGCTCAAGTGATCCTCCCGCCTCGGCCTCCTGAGTAGCTGGGACTACAGACACATACCATCATGCCCAGCTAATTTTTCTATTTTTTTGTGAAGACAGGGATTTACCATGTTGCCCAGGCTGGCCTCAGACTCCTGGGCTCAAGTCATCCACCCACCTCAGCCTCCTAAAGTCCTGGGATTATAAGTGTGAGCCACTGCACCCAGCATACATTTTAAAACCAGATTTTTTTCATAAACTCCTACTCCCTAAAACAGGCCATTTGGGGCTGGGCGCTGTGGTTGACACCTGCAATTCCAGCATTTTGGGAGGCCAAGGCAAGCATATCACTAGAGGCCAGGCGTTTTGAGACCAGCCTGGCCAACACAGCAAACCGTCTCTACTAAAAATACAAAAATTAGCCAGGCATGGTGGCTTATGCCTGTAATCCCAGCACTTTGGGAGACCAAGGCGGGTGGATCACTTGAGGCCAGGAGTTTGAGACCAGCCTGGCCAAGATGGCAAAACCCCATCTCTACTAAAAATACAAAAATTAGCTGGGCTGGTGGTACATGCCCGTAATCCCAGCTATTCAGGAGGCCAAGGCACAAGGGTTGCTTGAACCCAGGAGGCAGAGGTTGCAGCAAGCCACGATCCTGCCACTGCATTCCAGCCTGGGCAAGAGTGAGACCCTGTCTCGAAAAAAAGAAAAGAAAAGAAAGTACAATCCTTTTTATGTAACTTGTTGGACTTGACAAAACTGAGTATTCTTTCCTCTTGTATTTCCTGTGAGTGTGCGCAGAATTAGGATTATTTCCCTAAGTATGTGGCAACATTTACCACTAAAGCTACCTATGCCTAGTTTTCTTTGTGAGAACACATCTTTCATAGAGCTACGTAGGTTTTCTATTTCTTCCTGAGTAAACTAATTTGTATCTTTCAAGGAATCTACATTCATTACATCTAAAAATTATCAAATTACTAGAAGTTGTTCATAATAGTCTCATTGTTTTAGTATCTGTAGAATCTGCAGTGAAGCTACCTAATTCCTGACATTGGTAATTTATCTTTTCTCCTGATCAATCTAAATAGGACTTTTCTTGAGCTTCTCAAAGAATCAGCTTTTGATTAATTAATTATCTTTATTTTCTCTTGTCTGATTTCTGCTCTATTTGTATGATTTCCCCTTTTCTGTGTACACTTTTGATTTGCTCTTCTTTTTCTAGCTTTTTAAAGTTGAAGTGTCTTAAAGTGGTCATTGATTTGAAACATTTTTTTCTAACACAGGCATTGAGCCCCATAAATTCCCCTCAGTACTGCGGTTACTTGCATCACGGGATACAAAGTCGACAGAAACGTCAACTGTATTTCTATACACCAGCAACGGACAAGAAGAAACCAAAAATCAGAAAAACATTAGCATTTACAACAGCTCCAAGAAGATAAATAGTTGTAAATCTAAGAAAATATGTATAGGATCTGTATGCTGAAACTATAAACTGCTGAAGAAACTAAACGGGCAAATAAATGGACACATCATGTTCATGGATTAAAACATGATCACTAATATGTGAATTCTCCCCAAACTTATCTATAGATTTAATGCAATCGTAATCGAACTCCCAGCAGGACTTTGTTTTTTTTGAGATGGACTTATGCTCTTGTTGCCCAGGCTGGAGTGCAATGGCGCAATCTTGGCTCACTCCAACCTCAGCCTCCTGGGTTCAAGTAATTCTCCTGCCTCAGCCTCCTGAGTAGCTGGGATTACAGGCATATGCCACCACGCCTGGCTAATTTTGTATTTTTAGTAGAGATGGGATTTCTCCATGTTGGTCACGCTGGTCTTGAACTCCCGACCTCAGGTGATCTGCCCACCCTGGCCTCCCAAAGTGCTGGAATTATAGGTGTAAGCCACCACGCCCAGCCCTCGCAGGATTTTTGTACCTAAGCTGATCACAAAATTTAAATGGAAAGGTATTTATATAATAGTCAAAATAATTTTAAGAGGAAAAATAAAATTGGAAGAATTGTATTACCAGATTTTAATACTTACTACAAAGCTATAGTCATCTTGACTTCTGTGATATTGACAATAAGGAGAGATGCACAGCTCAGTGGGAGAAAATGAAACAACCTCGGATAGACCCACCCCAATATGGCTGACTCGTGACAAAACACAAAAGAAATTCAGCAGAGAAAGCACAGTCTTTCCAACAAATGGTGCTGGAACAACTAGACATTCATCCATATGCTCCTAAACACAAACCTCATACTTTTAAAAAAGTTAACTCAAAATAGATCACAAATCTAAATGTAACATGTAAAATAAAACATTTAGAAGAAAACAGGAGAATTAGGACTTAGGACTAGACAATGGTTTCTTAGACAGGACAAAAAAAAAACACTGTTTTTCAAAATTTCATTAATTGGACTTCATCAAATTAAAATTTTTGTTCTGTGAAAAGCACTGGTAACTAAACAAAAAGACAAGCTGGGCCAGGCATGGCAGCTCATGCCTACGATCTCAGCACTCTGGGAGGCCGAGGCAGAAGGATCACTTCAGGCCAGGATTTCGAGACCAGCCTGGCCAATGTAGCAAGACCCCATCTCTATTAAAAAAAAAGTTTAAAGACAAGCTGCAGACTGGGAGAAAATACTGCAAAGCACTCATCGGACAACATACTTGTATTCATAATATGTAAAGATCCTTAAACCCAACAGTAATATAGCAATCCACTTTTAAGATAAAAGACTTGAAGACTCTTCACCAAAGATATACAGATGACAGAAATGCACATGAAAAGATGTTCACCATCAGCCATCAGGGAAATGCAAATTAAAGCCATGATGAGATATCAGTACACACCTATTAGACTGGCTAAAATAAGAAACAGACAATACCAAGTGAGAGTAAAGATGCAGACCAACTGAAAGTACCCTTCTGCTGAATAACAACTTTTTCTTAAACACACTATATAAAGATGCTTTAAGTGATGTTTTGATATTGTAGTTTTGCACAGACACACTTGCCAATTTACTCAATACAAGTGTCTAGTCAGAGAACATGGGGAAGAAACTTGAATTGCACAAGATATCTAAATGAACCATACGATACTTTCCTCGGCATGGATAGAAGCTTCTTGACTTCCATCTATTGTGTCCACTGTTTCCTCGTTTTTAAAAGTACTCTTGGATTTAGGCTTTATTTTTGTCCTTAAGCAGAAGTTGGCAAATTTCTGTAAAATTTCAAATAGCAAACATTTTCAGCTTTATAGGGACATGGGCCTCTGCTGTACAACTTAGCTGCCCTTGAAACAGAGCAACTGGAGACAAGATAGGAAATGGGCATTTCCATTGCATGCATTCCAATAAATCTTTAAAGAACACACCGTGGCTCGATTTGGCCAGAGTCTGGCAACCCAGGGCTAGAGTAGCAGATGTACGCATTCAGGAGGCAGCAGGCCGCTCACAGGTGGAACCACAGCCAGCTTTCATTGGCGCTAAGCATTTAATTCGCAGCTGCCTGGCTTTGCTGGGGAAATATATCACAGTTGGCAAGCACTGTCCCAAGGTGGTCCCAAGGGATACCCCTTCACTCCTTAGACCTCATGCTTCACCAGCACATAGATTTTGTCAAGTCCATTTGCCACCTGTGCAGCAAGGGTGGAGCCTGAGGAATAGACAGGGTAAGGGACTAAGTGGCAGGGCTGTGCCCAGACCCAGGTCTTTCCCAATGAACAAGCTCCCCTTTACAAACAAGGAGCACCCCAAAAAACAGGAAGGCACTCCACCTGCCCCATCGTGACAGTAACCGAAGTGTTCCTTGGCTTATCCAGGCGGCGGAACCACCCACTGCAGTAGCATCTCCGAGGGTGGGAGCCTGCACCCAGTGACCCTGAGGCGCCGCAGGTGACGAAACAGAACCTCGCTCCTCCAGCCCACTGGTGGCCCAAGACACACAGCTACAGGGCCAGGGCTGAGGCTCCCAGTCTTCACGGTACCAACAGCAGGCTTGAAGGAATATACTTTATTAATCTACCTCCCAAACAGTAAAATGCCAGAGACTAAAATGCTAACATTCAGCTAAATTATAACAACTATTTACAGAGCACTGTCTGTGAGCCACGTGGGGCTGGGCCCGGTTCTCCCCTAACCACCCACCCAGCCCATCCTCCAAACAGGCCTGGGGCCACCTGCCACCTGCAGCAGAAACACCCAGCAGAGAGGACATTTATATACACCCGGCCAAGCCCTCCATGATGACATGCCAAGGAGGGCACCAGACCAAGACAGAGACAGACAGAGAGACACAGACAGGAGGTGAGGTTGCCAAGAAGGACACAGGACAGACTCAGTACTTCTTCAGGCTGTAGGCCAGGCTGCTGGGGACCCTGGCACCCTGCAGGGGTGGTGAGTTCCAGACGGCGGAGCTGGTGCGCTTATGATAGCGGGGCTTGCTCTTCTTGAAGATATCCTCCAAGTCCAGCGGGAGAATGGCTCCAAAGAGCTCCAGAAGGTTCGGCGGGTGGTAGTACTGGTTAATGATGGCCTGGCTGAGCGGGGTGCCTGCAGGATACCACAGACCAATTACTGCCTTGAGGCTCCCCATGAACCTCCTTATCCCCTGCCCCCCACAGAGCCATGTCACCCTCTCCAACCTCCCTACAGAGCTCTCTCACCCTCTTCAGCCCTGCCCCTGCCTGTACCACCATCAAACCCAGAGAAGGCTCGTTTCACATCCTTACTACCGTCCTCTGGCAGCTTAACCTGCACAAAGTCCTCGAGAGCTCACGTGAGCCAGGCACCCCTTGAACCTGGCCCGCCCACCACCTGGGAGGCAGGTTCTTTATTCTTCCATTCAGCAGATCTGCCCAAACGCATACAGCCAATCATGGCGAAGCCTGTGTTTGAAGACAAACCCAGCCCCAGAGCTTCAGCACAGATTGCCATCCTCGACCACCTTGGCCAGCTGCTTCTCATCGACCCTACAGGCCCCGGTACAGTGCTGAGGGGGCCTCCGGGCAGTGGATGTGGGAGGGCACAGTCCTGGCAACAGGGCTGAGGAAGACCCAGGGGATCAGGAGGCCAGACACGCACCCAGCACTTGCTCAGCACTGCATGCGGCTCTAAGGGCTCACCGTGAGCTCACTCAGGTCACCCTACATAGAACTCCTCAGCCGGGTCTCGTCATCGCCCTCCTTTCACAGACGAGGAAACTGTTTAAGTAAGCTGTTCAAAGTCAGCTCTCATTAGGTGGCTTTGTAAGCAATCTGGCTCCTGCTTGCTGCCATCTCCCACATGACTTAACACCAGGGGTTAAGAGGCTTAAGGTACATGCCAGTTACTGCAGGGTTCAGATGAGATGAAACTCACAAAAACAAGTTTCTGTAGAGGGTCTACCAGCTATGGGACTCCAGGCCCTTCGCTCTGGAGCATCTGCGTCCCTCCCTGACTTCCAGCTCAACAAACGCTGCAAGACACTTATGGTACCCACTGGCCGCATCCACTCCAGCAGCACCAAGTTCTAGCACCGACCCTGCTCACTCAAGCTGGCCTTGCACTCAGGCCTGAGGCATTGCAGTCACACTCATCACCTTCTTGTTTCATGCTGGGACCTGTAAACTCCGGGTCAAATCCTGCTCAAGTGCCTCGCACCCTCCTCAGGGCCTTTCCTGCCTGCCCAGCTGGCTGGAAACCCAAGGCTCCAGCTTGGTGCTCTTCCCCATTCTAGCTCTGCCTCTGCCCCAGGAGGCTTACTTGGGTCCAAGCCTCTTCAGCCTTGCTGGATGGGACTCTAAGGAGGGGCCCAGTACAAGTCAAAACACCCAGTAGCATGCCCAAAGCCAGTGCAATTTCATATATTTGTTGACAACAAAGGAACCCAACCTCATAGGTCTGGTCCTTGGATAAGCACAATGAACACGAGGTGCTCCATTCTCCCCCAGGCACATGCATGCCCAAAGCTAGAGCCTTGAGCCGCCAGCTCAGGCACACAGCAGCCTCCCAACACCGAAGCAGCCAACCCACTACTTCCAGGGCCCTCAAGGTGAAGACCGGTGAGGGCCTGAGTCTCCCAGGGAGCTCTGGGCTTTGCTCACCTCGGGCCCAGGTGGGGATGGGTTTCCGGGGATGGGCCTCATCATCGGTGGAGTCGTCGCTATTCAGATCCATCCCGTAGTTATCTGGGTTGATCTTGGGGGGGGCCCTGTGCCCTTGCGGAGTCATCTGATATGAGGTACAAGCTGGAGACTGGAAAAACAAAGGCGGCCGTCAGCTCCCTCCACTGCACTCCTGCCTCTCACCCCCAAGGAGCTCTGGGGCCCTGCTCACCTCCTCCCATGTCACAGGAGAAATAAAAGGTGCAGGGTCACCTTTTTAGGGCAGCGGTGGAGACAGAATCTTGCTATCACCCAGGCTGGAGTGCAGTGGTGTGATCTCAGATCACTGCAACCTCCGCCTCCCAGGTTCAAGTGACTCTCATGTCTCAGCCTCCCCATGTAGCTGGATTACAAGTGTGCACCACCACACCCGGCTAATTTTTTGTATGTTTAGTAGAGATGGGGTTTCACTGTTGGCCAGGCTGGTCTCAAACTCCCGACCTCAAGTAATCTACCCACCGTGGCCTCCCAAAGTGGTGGGATTACAGGCATGAACCACTGCACCCAGCCTACTTTTTAATTTTAAAAAGTTGCAGAACACACACTACTCTCTATCTCCTTTTTTTCATGTTAAGGCGTATTGCAAGCTTTCTTCCAGGTCAGTGTGTGTAGATTCTGCCTGGGAACCACCCAGGAGACTCCAGGATCTGCAACTTAACCATCCATCATTGACAGATACCATACTAACTTCCAAGTCCTCAACATCTTAACTTTGCTGCAATGAAACCCTTCCTCACACTATGTTTTGTTTCTTAACAGCACTGAAGTGAAAATAGATCAAATGCTCATCAAGAGGAGCCGGCTGAATTCCAGCACAATTAAGGTACACAGTCATCAAAACTAAGAAATTTACCTGTGTTAAAATAGATGTCTACAACATACTAAGAGAAAAAAAAAAAAAAAAAAAAAAAAAAACATGGGGTGGGAGAGGGCTGGAAATCAAGCTGCCAAATGTGCTCACTTAAAATATATATCTGTATGGGTGAAAGAGAAAGAATATCTGTGTGTGTTAAAATGGTTACATAGGTAAAAATCTAGAAGGATATACAATTGGCTTAGTAGAGTTTTCTTGAGGGCCCTTTTTTTTTTTATACTTTATACTCTTTTATAAAGTTTAGTTCCTTTTTATCTTCCCTCTCAACAAATTCTACTTTTAGAGTAACAAAGAACATCAAAAATAGTAAAAACAACTGGGCCAAGCGTATCAGTCCTCTTCCTTAGGGTCCTAACATAGCCTGTGCCTCCAGCTTCCGGGAAGAGAATAATCAAAGTGGGCCCCTCCACGTGAGGGCTTCTCCCCTGGGGCCCAGGCTACACCTGCACGTCCACAGTGACGTTTAAGACCTTGCTGGCCCCGGCTGCCTCCTTGGCTTTCTTCTCTTGCTCCTCCTGCAGCTGCCGCTCAGCCAGACGCTGCTGCTCTTCCTGGAATGCAGGTGGCAATGGGGTGTTAAGGAGTCTTCCCTTCCTTCCTCTCCTCCTCCCCTCCCTTCCTTCCCGTCCCCTTCTTTTCCTCTCTTTCCCCTCCCTTCTCCTCCCCTCCCTAGGCAGCCTCTGCCATTGGAGTCCAGACTAGCCTACAGCTCAGGGTAGACCCCAAGGGAGCCCACAACCCAGCTCCCCTCACCTTCTTCTTCTTCTCCTCCAGTTCCCTCTGCTGTCGCTCCTTCTGCAACCGCAGGGCCTTCTCCCGCTCCTGCTGCTCCCTGAGGACCCAGCAAGAGCCTGTTAGGACAGGAAACGGAGCCCCAGCCCTAGCCCTGTTCCCATCCCTGCTGGGGAAGCCAGGTCCAGCCAGCAGGACACGCCGTAGAAGGCAGGACTGCAGAACGGGTACCTGGCTTAGAACAAAGCTGTGTTTTGCTCCAGGGGCTAGAAAGGTACACATCAGAGAGGGCAAGGAACACAAGCTGGAGCCCAGCATTTGGTGCCCACTTTTCCGTGCAGCTGAAGTCTCTGAGCCTCATCACACTTTTACACAATGGGGACCATAACACATTTCCTCCAGGGTCAACACTAGAATCAAATGGGATAATCCACAATCCCCTAATTATCCTAACCCTCCAGGGCAGACAAAGGCTCCAAGCATGAACAGGGAAGGGGCCGTGGATGGGTTCTGGAGTCACCTCCACAACACACTTGCTCATGACTTTGAACAAGTCATTTAACCTCTCTGGACCTATTTCGCCCTGTATGAAGTGGAGCTGATAGCTCCCATGCCCCGTGGGCTTCCACTGAGGACTAAACAAGGAAACAGATGTAAAGCATGTAGCTTGGGTACCCAACAAAGCTGCCGACACTACGACTATCACACCGTCACCCTCAAAGCCCCTGCCCTGTCCAGCACCCTGCAATTCTAAAACCACATCAGCTGCCCCTTACACCTTCTCACCTTCCCAGACTCTGCCCAGAGGACCAAGGTCAGCTTTGTGCCCATCAGGCAGCCCTGACGCAGTGGAGCCCTCCTCTGGCTGTGACTCCTCACTTCTCTGATAAACCTGTAGCCACCCACAAAGATGGACACAGAAAAAAGTACTGCCCACTGTTTCCCAGGAAGTGGAGGCGAGAGAGCGAACACCTATGGGGCCCGCGTGTCTCACACACACGTGCTCTACTTCTGTGCACACAGACACAGGATCCCGAGTATCTCCTGACCAACACTGAGTGTGGCTTTTCCTCCTTGGCATACCCACAACTCTTAGAACAACTAGGCACAGGGCAGGCCCTGGACAAATGCCTGTAAAACTAAACATGGAACTCCTGTCTCTTGTACAGAGACCACTGCATCTGCAGAGCTGGAAGATCTCAGGGCTCCTGGGTCCACAGTTCCCAAGGCAGGGGAATAGTCTGCAAATATCAGTGGGGGGCAATCTGAGTTATTGTCCTCGCCAGGGGAGGTATATTCAGTGGGAACAGGCCAAACAACCTGCAATGTACCACAAAGATCTCTCCTGCCCAAAATGCCCATGGTGGCCCTGCTGAGAAATACCAGCTCATCCTCTGAGCACCCCACCCCTGCCAGTTACAAAAGACACTAAAGAAGTCAGTACATGCAGCTGGAGGCAAAACCAAGCCAAGCCCTGAGCGAGCCCATGCATCACTCCTTGAATCTCCCAAAGTCAATGGACAGTGTGTTCAGGTGGGCCACTAGCTGCAGGCATCTGGGCTTGGTGCCAAGGACAGGGCCTGCAAACCCCCACGTGCAGGTGAGCCTGTGTCCAGGCAGGGGCCAAACTGTCTCTCTTCCACACACACATGGAGGGCAGGCAGGCGGGCCAGCAGACCCCTTACCTCTCGGCCTGGAGCCGCTCCTGTTCCCGCCGCCGCTCCTGCTCCGCCAGCTGCCGCTCCTGCTCCCGCTGCTCCTGCTCCCGCCGCTCCCGCTCCCGCCGCTCCTGCTCACGCTGCTCTGCCAGCCGCTTAGCCTCGGCTGCCTTCCGTAGCCGCTCCAGCTCCTCTTCCTTCTTCTTCTGCAGCAGCTCTTGGTGCCGTCGCTCTTCCTCCTCCTGAAACGGAGAGCAAGGCCGGGTGCTGTGGCTGGGCCTGAGCCAGAAAGGGAGAACGGTGGCCCTGCTTGCCCGAAGCCCAGGTGTTCCTCGTATTAGTCCCCACCACTTGATTCGGTTGCTGGTTTTATATACATAACACACTTAGAACAGTGCCGAGCACACAGTCAAGAACTGACCTTAGTAACTAGTCACACGTAACCCCTAATGATGATTTGCCTTTTCTAGAGCCCTCAGACTGACTGGGAAGAGGCAAGCCCTTACTCTTAGATGGAACAGTCAGGGGATGGACCATAACAGCAATTGTGGAGAACATTTAGCAGGCATCGGACACTACTGACACTTCACGGACATTAACATGCTTAACCCTCACGGCTACTTGAAGATATGGAAGCAGAGAGGTCAAGTAGCCTGCACAAGGTCTCACAGCTAGTAAATGGCAGAGCCGAGATAGGCAGTCTGGCTCCAAGTACGAGCACTTAACCCTCAAACTACTGCTGCTACAGAAGATGACAGGCAGGTTCTGGTCACCATCCTCCCCCTGGAGGCTTCGGAGAAACCTCATTCTTGGCATGAAGCAACGGGAGTGCTCCATCAATCCGACAAGGCGGGGTGCGCCCAGTAGGGCCCCATGGTGCTGAGATAGTGCCCACCTCCTCCGTGAGGCCCACCTGCGCTCGCACCTGCTGCAGCCACCTGAGCCTACGCGCCTCCTCCTCCTGCTTCCTGCGCGCCTCCACCTCCTCCATCTTCTTGGCCGCTGCCTTTTTCTTGGCCTTCTCCTCCGCCAGTCTTTCCTCCTTGGCCTGCAAAGCCCACCCACACGTGCCCATTGGAGCACCCACATTCAGTCCTGTAGAGCGTGGCCCAGAACTCTGCGTGACAGGCCCCGCCTGCCCCTGCACACCTGGCTTGTTCCCACCACCCAGGGAGAGGACCCCAGAAGCCGGTCCTGCCTGAGTGTCAGACCCGACTCAAAGGGCTGCCAGGGAAACCCAGAGCGGGGAGCGTCCGCCCCCCACGGGCCTCAGGGTGAACTCCAGGGCCCGTGGAGCAGACAGGAGATGGGTATAGGGGTACAGTGACAAATCTGCAATTTCCTGAGGGGTCTGGTCTTGACCGCCCCCACCCTCCGCCATCCAGACTCGCACCTTCTCAGTCTTCTCGTCAATCTGAGCAAACTTCTGCTCAATCTGCTTCTTCTTCTCCTCCTGCATCTGCTCTACCCGCTCTCGGGCCTGCAGCACCTTGCGGAGGCGTTCCTCACGCTTCCTGCGGGGCACAGGACAGTCACGGGGAGCCCCGCCAAGGCTGGGGCAGGCCAAGGTCTAGGGAGCCAGGCCACTTACAGCTTCACCTCCTCCAGCCGCCGCCGCTTGTCCTCCTCCACCTTCTGCCTACGCAGCTGCTCAGCCTCCTCCTTCCGCCGAAGGTTCTCCAGGCGCTGCCTCTCCTTCTCCTGGGGTGGGTGGAGCAAGGCAGACAGGGCATGAGCAAGGACAACCCCCTTGCCCATGCCCGCAGTCCCCAGCAGCCTGCAGCCACGTGGGCGGCAGCATCAGAATGCTTCTTAGGCAGAGGTAGCCCCAATGTGCCCCCATCGGCACCCAGGCCAAGGCCCACAGCTGCCATCTTTCCTCCCAGGAGCACTCCACTGCCTTACAAAAGCCTAAGCCACAGGGCCCTCAGCTGAGGCCTGTACAGCACAAAAGTCATGCTCCAAATAGGATTTATGTGCCGACAACTACATAAACCGTGCACTGAAGAAGAGAATGAAGGATGAGCTTGGAAGGGTGAGGAGCACAAAGACAGCTCTCAAAGTCAGTGAATGTTCTAGTAAGGGGTGGTGCAGACGCAGGCGTAACTTCCTACTATTATGATGTATAACATCCATACTACATACACATTTTCTTTGGTTGGTGTATATTAAGCTATTTCGTAAGAGTTGAAAAAAAGTAAAAGGAAATATTGCCAAACGCTAACAGAGGTTACTATAGTCTAGTGAGATGGATTAGGGATGGTATTAATTTTCGTTTATTTTCCACACTTCCTGTGACATGGCTATGCTCCTTTTTTGCTTCTTTTCTTGAGACAGAATCTCCGTCACCCAGGCTGGAGTACAATGGTGTGGTCTTGCCTCACTGCAACCTCCACCTCCTGGGTTCAAGCGATTCTTTGGCCTCAGCCTCCCAAGTAGCTGGAACTGCAGGCACCCACCACCACGCCCAGGTAATTTTTGTATTTTTAGTAGAGGCAGGGTTTCACTATGTTGGCCAGGCTGGTCCTGAACTCCTGACCTCAAGGGAAGGGATTGCCCATCTCGGCCTCCCAAAGTGCTGGGATTACAGGCATAAGCTACCATGCCAGGCTGGCTATTTTTTTTTTTTCTTTTTTTGAGATAGAGCTTCACTCTTATTGCCCAGGCTGGAGTACAATGGCACCATCTCGGCTCATGGGCACCTCCACCTCCCGGGTTCAAGTGATTCTCCTGCTTCAGCCTCCTGAGTAGCTAGGATTACAGGCACGTATCACCACGTCCAGCTAATTTTGTATTTTTAATAGAGACAAGGTTTCCCATATTGATCAGGCTTGTCTAGAACTCCTGACCTCAGCTGATCCGCCTGCCTCGGCCTCCCAAAGTGTTGGGATTATAGGCATGAGCCACCGCACCTGGCTGACATTCATTTTTAAAGCAACTTTTTTTTTTTTTTTGAGATGGAGTCTTGCTCTGTCACCCAGGCTAGACTGTAGTGGCACGATCTCAGCTCACTGCAACCTCTGCCTCCCAGGTTCAGGCAATTCTCTGCCTCAGTCTCCCAAGTAGCTTGGACTACACGCCACCATGCTTGGCTAATTTTTTTGTATTTTTAGTAGAGATGGGTTTTCACCATCTTGGCCAGATTGGTCTTAAACTCCTGACCTTGTGATCTGCCCGCCTTGGCCTCCCAAAGTGCTGGGACTAAAGGCATGAGCCACCACGCCCAGCCCTAAAGCAGCTTTTAAAAAGTGTTCTCTGAAAAGCTGATCGATGCTGGCATACCCTCCTGGGCAGACACAGAAAGCCCCAGGGGCACAGCCACAGCAAAGGGCAGCCCGCAGGGATGGGCTGGGGCTCTAAGCCCTCCCTGGTCAAGGACAAGGACAACTGGTGCTTTCCCCTTGAACAGTCGGGAGCTGGGTGGAGGCTGCGACCCAGACTGAAGCCCCACACCCATCACCCAACCTGGCTCCCAGCAGACTCCCACCTCTGGGCACAGTGTCTGATAGCTGCCCCCTTTTCCTGTACTGGTTACTATAGATTTCTCCTTGGCTTCTGACCCCAAATGAAGGAGCACTCCCACCTAGAAATCTGGCACCAAGATAATACTATCCTCCTAAAGATGGAGAGCAGGGGCCCAGTAACAGGTAACATGGAGTAGACGCCACCGCTCTCCCACTGAACGCAGCTACAAAACCTGGACAGAAGGCAAGGAGCGGCTGCTTGAGGCCTCTGAAAACTAAAGAGGAGCTGGCAGCTGGGGAAGACTCAACTTGGAAGCAACAGCCAAACAGCAGTGAGTTCACCATTGTTCCTCCAGCCTAACTCAACATAGCCTGAAACTCCAAAGGAGTCACTGGGGTGCATGCAGAAAGAATTCCAGGATAAGCCCTCTAGTCCTCAGTAGTGGAAAAGGGGTATCTAACACTAAGAGAAGGCAGAAACCCCATTTCTGACTTTTCTCTTTTCTTCTTTCCCTTGTGCCCCAGCCCGCAGGTAGTCCTACAGCAACCAGGGGAAGCAGCAGTTAAAGGAAGCTGCAGTCACAACTCAAGGGAGCAGCTGTAATCCCAAAAGTGTGGGCCAAATCCTGTGTGTCGCTCATCTGTCTGTCCCCCTGCCAGGTGGCCCTGGACAGAGACAGCTGCCGAGTCAAAACTCAAGGGAGGAGCTGTGATCCCAGAAGTGAGGGTGAAACCCTGTTTGTGGTTCTTTCTCCATCCCCCGGCAGGTGGCCCTGGACACAGTCGCAGAAGCACACAAAGCAGAACAAGCCAACTCAAGCCCCAGCTTCCTGGCTGGAGGATGGAAAAGGGAGCCCCAGAGGAGCAGAAAGTGCTGGAGATCAGGAAAATGACACCATGGGTTACTGATGAGCGCCAAGGCTCAGCTCCAAGCTGCAGATGCTAGGATCTCACACTAGTTATTACACCAAAAGCTGAGAACGAAATGAACAGACCACCTTCCAGGTCCCAGGCTCACTGCTGACTGGCACACAGCTGGGAAAAGGCCAAACAGCACTGCCTTCTTCAAAATTGGGACTAACATTGGAACCTAAGTCCACAGAAGGCAGACAGGAACCTGCAGTCAAAACCTAAACAGGTCAATTGCTGCTAAATTGCAATAATTCTCCATAAATTTAAACTAGACCCAGAGGCCCATATCACCATGTTCAGAATACAGTCCAAAATTACTCTGTAGGCCCCTGGTCTCCTAGCTGTGGACTGTCCCCACCCACTAGATGCCCTGTGCAGGGACCTGGGATCCCCAGAGCAGGAAAGGGCAACTTCCTAGGCTTCTCTGTCACCCCAGAGGAAGGGAGGTGACCAGTCCCAGGTCACTAAGACCTGCAGAGTTCTAATCAGTCTGGGTGGGGCATAGGTGGTAAGGTCACTGGAAGGTGTACTGTCAGTCACTCTGTCCAGCAAGAGGGGAAAAGGCTTCCATGCAGGAGAAGCCAGTTCAGAGCCCACGTGGTCAGCTGCTGAGAAGCCCCTCCCACCTGCCGAGGCCCTCAGCTGGAGGCAGGAGCCCTCCTGGCTTGAACAGGTAATCCTATGTGGCTGCAGGAGACCCATCAGAAGGCTTGAAGGAACTAAAGGAATAAGGCGGCTGGGGCCCTGGCCACTGGCACAGGGAGCTGGGACTTCGGGTGAAGCATGTCCCTGCACTCCAAGGGTCCTTGCTCATGGCCAGCCTGACTCAGCTCAGTCCTGAGGTGTCTGAGAAGAGAACAGCTTCTGCAACTTGTTTCTAGATGCTACCACTCACTGTTCTACCGCCACCCAGCGCAGTAAGACCTGACCTCCCACCTTGGTTCAGACTCACACTGGCCCTCCCCCATCACCGCACTGCCTCAAGGCTACTGCTCAGGTCCGTGAACCAATAAATCTCAGTGGCTCTGGGAACCAGAGACAACCTGTCTGTTCTCTTCAAAGATCCACAGACCCTGAGGGGGCCTGGTGCCTGGTGCTGGGGAGGGGGGCAGGAGGTGGCTGTGGGGAACACGTCAAGCTGCAGCCCTGGCGAAAAGCCGCAGGCCACACGCCCTTGCTTCCTCCTAGGAGCAGTCAAGGGCAGAGAGGGCAGAGGAGGCTGAGGCCCACAACTGCTGGGTGCCTCCAGCCAGTGCACCCCTCACGGCCCATCCTCTCCTTAAGGCTCTCCCACTCACAATGTTAGTGCGTCTACCAGTGCTGTCAGCTACGCAGGGAAGGGGCTAAAGCGGGTAAGTGCTAGGTGGGGCTAGGTTACCGACAGGAAAAGGCTTTACTTACGACGAAGCTGTACTGTGGAAAGGAGACAAGGGAAAAGCCAAGAGTTAATGCCAGGCCAGGGCATCCTGCAGGCAGGCCATGCACCCAGCTGTGCCAGCCAGCCTGCGTGGTGCCTGCCCCTCTTGCCAGTAGCACTCCCACCGCCTCTGTCACCCAACCCTCATCCCAATGGGGTAGGTGTCCACAAGGGCCCTTCACCTTAACCACCCCGATCCCCAGGGCTCACACTGAGCCGGCCGAGCCTCTGGGCTACAGTCGAGAGCCCACAAGGTCCGGACAGTGCCCCGAGGTCAAGGCAGTGGGTGGCCACAGAGGCTTCAGCTGGCCCCTAACAGTGCCCGGCCACACTTGCCTCTGCCCAGGCTCACACTACTCCCAGTATCTTAGGGGTCAGACTGGACCTTCAGCCACATTGCCCAGCTCCCACCAAGCCCGACCTGGACACAGGCCACTAACCTTGGGGTCCACGCGCAGGGGGGTGTTGCGCTTGATGAAGGACTTCATGACGCTGCGGGGGGCTGAGGTTGGGGTCATGAGCATCTGGTTCCTCTGCACCGTGTGCAGAAAGGTCCGGAGGGGCCGTACCACCTGCAGACGAGGACCAGGGTCAGGAGTGGGCCGGCAGGGCAGGGTACCGACAGGGGTCAGGGCACCAGGGCAGGGCGGGCTCCCGGCTTACCTTGCTGGCCGGGCAGGGTGAGGAGGGGGTCTTGCTCCTGGGGGGCTGCAGCTCCTCGTCCTCCAGGTGCTGGTCCTCGTCGAGCTCACTGACCGCCTGCTTGTAGCTGCGCTTCCTCCTGCCAAGGCACGGGTGATGGCATCACAAGGCAGCCCGCCACAGCCCATCAAAGGTAACCCTGGTGAACAACACTACGCCTAGGCCACGGGCCTCTAGACTTTCTGAAAGAGACTAGAGAGCCTAACCGACCCTCTGCTGCCCACTCAGAGAAAGGGAGGTGACCATTCCAAGGTCACATGGCCAGGAGGCCACACTAAGACGGGGTTAACAATCGGGTTGCCCTATTTCCAGGCTGGTGCTCATCCACGGCATGGAGCTGCCTCTTTGGTTAAGTCAGAGCTCCAGACCGCACCCCAGCAGAGAGGCTACGAGCCCCTCGGCACACGTCCACCTTCACTGAGCAAGGACACAAGGCCATGTCCTCCGGGGCCTCAGAACAGAGATGCCACAGGCCCCTTCCCTGATGCAAACCTGGCACTCTGCGGTGGCTCTCTGGGTCCATCTGCTTGGTCCATCTTGGCCTCTGTGAAGACAGCAATTTCAGCAAGGCTGCAGAAATGATGGCGGCAGCAGGGTGGGAATGGGGGCGTAGTGGGTAGGGGTCCCTGGGCAGCAGCCTTGGCAGTGGGGCAACGCTCCCTTCCTGGCAGCTCCAAGGTGGCCAAACACAGACCTATCAGCTTTAACCCTGACTAGCCTTGAGGAATCTAGATGCCAAAGCCTGGCTACCCCCAGCTCATGAACCCCTGCCCGCGAGTGCCTGGCTCTGTGGTAGGCAGGACAGGATGGTCCTGTCGAGAGAACAGACCCAGTCATACCCCACCCACCCACCTCTGACACAAAGAACGGTGTGTGGACACCTTATAGAAGCAGGAGCTACAAGCCCCTCACACAGCTTCTAAATCCCACCCCTCCTGGGCTGTACAGCTGGTGTGGCCATGACAGGAGCAGGGGGCGGCTCCTGCTGTGGGGTCCACATGTGGGGTGTAGGGTCGGTATGTTTTATTTCACTGCTAGGAGAAAGTGCCCCTTACTCCAAAAGTTCCTCGCAGCAGCCCTGGGGGCTGTGGGGCTGGCATGATCGTTGTCCCTGACCACGTCGTGAAGAGCAGGCCATGTTTAAGATCTCACAGCTACAGTACTCTTCCCACAAGAGAGAAGCACCCTTCTCAGGGAGACGTGAGCAGGACCCTGGGACCCGCCCAAGCCTACTGCTCTCCAGCCCTCTTTGGACAGGGATGGACCTACAAAGGTCAGAAAGGAGCTAGCAGCAGAGGGAAAGGAGGAGGCTAGGGGGGCGCTCCAATCCCCGGCCCACAGCTCTTCCGCTGCCCCGTGGAGTCGAGCTCAAGGCCTTGGCCTGACCACTTCATATCCACACCCCAACGCAGGCCCTTCCCCTGCTTCCTGTCCCAACCAGCCACAGCCCTACATGCCGCACTCAGTGAAAGCTCCGGCCCAATGGTGGGAGGTGAAACCTCAAAGGAGATCTGTGAACCCCCAGGTTTCATTTCGCTTTAGCCCACTGGCCCAGAAAATGAGGCTTCCTTTCCCCAGAAAGAAGGTCAGGCAGAGGCCGCCAAGGCCCGCTGTGGCTCTGGGCACTGCACACAGCAGGCAGGGCTGGAAGACTCACCTTGCTGCCCTGCAGAGGGTGTTTCCTGGCTGCTGGCTGCAAGCTTCGGGTTGGGTGTACCATTGGCAATTCTGGTGTCATCGCGGGGCCACGAGTTATTCCCATTGTTCTCAGGGACCTGTGGAAAGAACGAAGGCTTTAGGAGTCTCAACCTGGAACCCAAGGCCCAGGATGCTGCAGGGCAGAGCGGGAGCCCCAGAGGTGAGTCCTCCCTTCCCCGGACCTTACCTCTGGCTCAGCTGCCACCACAGGCTCAGCCTCCTCGGGAGACTCCTTCTGCTCAGCACTGAAAACAGAAGGGGGACTCTGTGGGGACTGCCCAGGCAGTCCAAGCCTTCCTGCACAGGGAGTTCCTCCCCTGCCTCAGGGATGGGGGACCCAAGATGTCAACACAAGGTGCCCCGGCCAGGACCATCAACCCACAACCCCCTGCGGGATGGGAGGATGGCGGCTCCAGGCAATGGCTCTGTAGGCAGACGAGGGATGTCAGATTTGGAATGTGGCTTCATGCCCCTGCCATCCCACCGCAGGGCTGACGCGATGGGAGCCCCTCCGCAGCTCCGCCTCCCCATCTTGGGCCCAGCTGAGCTGTATCTCCTTTGTGGTCTGTTCTCCATTCACCATGGGGCCAGCAAGGCGAGCAGGTCCACCCAGTCACCCTGGTCCCCATCCCAAGAACAAACCCTTGCTCAGCAGCAAGGAGGGAGGGGCTAGTTTTCATGATGGCAGGACATGGCCTCCAAGAAAAGGAGTCTGTGTCCTGGCCCAAAGCAGCATTGGGTGTGAACCTGGAGTAGCCCCATCCCACCCCACCCAGTTTGAATGTAGCTCTTCCTGGCAGCTCCGCTTCACCCACAACCTCTGGAGCTCATGCCCCAGGGTCAGGTCTGGCCAGGGCAACCAGCACCGCTGATGGGCACTGCAGGAAGACCGGGCAGCCAACACCCACGTCACTCACTGCCTGGTCTGACAGGGGACAGGGCAGCCCATGGGCAGTCAGGGCTCAGCAGGGAAGGCCTATCCCCAGAAATTGCTTCCAGCGCTCCCTGTCCAGGGGTGCCCTGCCCACCTGCAAAGTCCCGGAACTGAACTCACCCAACTTTCTGGGGCACCTCAACATTCAGGAGCCTCTCCAGGTAACTGTGACCTGAGGGGGAAAAGAGACACACAAACAATCTCATCAGAAACCACACAAGTTCCACTCTAAGGGGTCCAGAGAACCAGGTTCCAGCAGGGGCCTGGCCACTGCTCCCATCACTAGCCACAGAGGCCCCACTGTGCCCAGGTCCCTGCCCTCAGCACTCATCCCAGTGTCTCCACTGGAGCTGCTGGCTTCATGTCCCCTGCTGCTTCCCAGATTGGACTCCCTTGCCCACGTGAGAGCACGGCTGGGCACTTTCACCAGGCTGGGAATATCTGGAGAAGAGGAATAATGTCTGTTGCAGCTCCAGGCCCCCAACTCCCAGCATGGGGCCCAACGCAAAGCGGCTTACTCTGTCAACAAATATTCGTCAAGTGCCTACAGTGTACTGGGACCCGGGCCAGGCCCCGGGGACCCAATGGTGAGCAAAACAGAACCACTATCTGGTCTTGATAACAATCATCAAATAGTCCTATCAACAACATTGACACGGGGAATAATGGAACAGAGCAGAGGAATTTTTTTTCTTTTTTATGAGACGGAGTCTCACTCTGTCGGCCAGGCTGGAGTACAGTGGAACGATCTTGGCTCACTGCAACCACCGCTGCCCGGGTTCAAGCAATTTCCAGCTAATTTTTGTATTTTTAGCAGAGATGGGGTTTCACCATGTTGGCCAGGCTGGTCTCAAACTCCTGACCTCAAGTGATCTGCCCACCTTGGCCTCTCAAAGGGTTAGGATTATAGGCGTGAACCACCATGCCTGGCCCAGAACAGAGAATGTTAAAAGTCTATGACAAGGGGACCTGAGTTGGCCTGGAGGATCCGCTGTGGAATGGGAGTTTATAGGCAAAGGAGGAGGACATCCAGGCCAGTGGTCTCTGACCCCTGGACATCCTTGAGACCCTTGGGGTATCTATGAGGTCATAGCTATTTTCATCTTGTCGCTGAAGTGTTAACTTGCCCCTTTCACTGTGTTGACATTTGGCCTGATGGCACAAAAGCAATGAGAAAGAAGCTGCTGAAGCGTTAGCCCCCGTCCAGGCCAGAGCATCAAACACTGTCCTCAGCCACACATTCATGGGAAGAACAGATGTCCAGTTTCACTGGACAATGTCCTTGATGAAGACATAAAAGGTGCTAATTTTTTTTTTTGACACAGAATCTCACTCTGTCGCCCAGGCTGAATGCAGTTGAGCAATCTCAGCTCACCGCAACCTCTACCTCCTGGGTTCAAGCACTTCTTGGACCTCAGTCTCCCAAGTAGCTGGAATTACAGGCACGTACCACACAGCCAGCTAATTTTTTGTATTTTTAGTAGAGATGGGGTTTTGCTATGTTGGCCAGGCTGGTGTCAACTCGTCCTCAAGTGATCCACCTGGCTCAGCCTCCCAAAGGGCTGGGATTACAGGTGTGAGCCACCGAGCCTGCAAAAGTACTAATTTTACTAAATCTAAATTCAAGTACATACTATTCTCCTCTTCTGTGTGCTGAAGTGGGAAGTGTGCAGAGAGCCTGTTGCTGCAAACCCAACTCTCCGTGAAAAGTGCTTGTCTCTTAAGCTGCCAGATGCATTAGCCGCTTTTTCACCTGGAACACTATTATTAATTAAAAGAACGATCAACAGACAATGGTTATTCAAACTTGGGTATCTGGAAGCCATTTTCTTACAAGTCAATGAAGTGAATCCATCACAAAAATAAAACAACATGTGCTGACAATAATTTAAAAACTGAGCCAAAAACATCCAAAAGTAGAATTTTGAAAAGCGGGTATCTACCACCAGCAGTGTTACAGCACCCTAGTACCTAAGGACTTTTCTGATGAGGTCAGAAACAGACATGCTCTTTTGGGATATTATATAATGAAGGGTGTCAACACTTGGAAGACGTGCATAACTTAGTGAAACACTATTTTCCAAATGACGAGTGTATGAGGTTATGAAATCACACACAGCTAAAAGACCCATTCAAAGTGCAGCTGGACATGGTGGCTCATGCCTGTAATCCCAGCACTTTGAGAGGCAGGGGAGGACAGATCATTTGAGGTCAGGCGTTTGAGACCAGCTTGGCCAATATGGTGAAACCCCGTCTCCACTAAAAATACAAAAATTAATCGGGTATTTGTGGGCACCTGTAATCTCAGTTACTCGGGAGGCTGAGGCAGGAGAATCGCTTGAACTGGGAGGCAGAGGTTGCAGTGAGCCAAGATCGAGCCATTACACACTAGCCTGGGCAACAGAGCAAGACTCTGTCTCAAAAAGAAAAAAAAAAAAAATACACAGTAGATCTATGTGGCATCAATGACGTGGTTTCAGATTCCATATCACAACAAACCTTTAAGAATTATCACTTCTTGTACTATCACTTCTTGTCTTAATAACAAAGAATATGCACAATTATCTGAAAAAGCTATTAAGATACTCCTTCCTTTCCCAACTATACGTCTGTGTGAGACCAGATGTTCTTCAACTACTTTAATCCAAACAGCGCAGTTCAACAGATCAAATACAGAACGTGGCTTCTTTAAAGCCACCCAATAAAGAGATTTGCAAAGTGTAGAATACTGCCAGTCTCCTCAGTACATTTTTGCTTCGGAAAATTATTTTTTCATAAAAAGTCTTAATGTAAACAGATGTTGGGCTTGGTATTTGCATTTTGTAATGTTAAAATATCAAACATTTAAATATTTTTAAATCTTTACATTAAAGTACTATTTATATTAAAATATTAACTCATATTTAAAATACTTTTAAATTCCAGTTTCAATTTCTAATACAATAACGATCAGTATATACGACCTCATAATCAAAAGCTTTTTTTTTCAAACAGGGTCTTGCTCTGTCACCCAGGCTGGAGTGCAGTGGCGCAATCTCAGCTCACTGAGCCTTGACCTCCTAGGTTCAAGCAATCCTCCCACCTCAGCCTCCTGAATAGCTGGCACTACAGGCACAAGCCACCACACCTGGCTAATTTTTTCCTTTTTTGTAGAGACAGGGTTTGGCCATGTTATCCAGGCTGTCAAAAGTTTTTTGAGGCTGAGGCTCAATCATTTTTAAAACAGGAAGCCCGGGACCCTGACCCTCAGCACTCACCCTGGCATCCTCACCACAGCTGCTAGCTTCATGTCCCAGCTTCTTTCTAGCTGGGAGCATGACTGTCCCCAGTGCCACTGGTCTAGGGAGGAGGAGGGCCAAGGCCACAAGGCAGGAAAAAAGAGGCTCTTTTGGAGAACGGAATTGGTAGCTGAGCTGGCGCATCCTGAGCCACGGGAGCGTGGCCAGCGGTCAGGCTGGGAGGCAGCCGGCAGGAGATTGGGACGAACAGGGTCTCAGGAAAAGAGGGAAGACAACAGGCCAGGCACAGGGAAGGGAAGCCGGGACCTTTCCTGGGTGTAGTAGCCAGGTTTGGGGAGGTGGCGGGAGCAGCTGCAAGGCCAGGCTGACAGTCACAGGTGGTGATCACCCCCATTTAAGGGGTCTGTACCCAGAGGATACATCCCCCTCATCTCCTCATGCCATCTCAGCCCAGCTCACGTGCTCCCTGATGAAGACGCCCACATGACTGCATGGCTATCCCACCAGCACAAGACTTCTCTGGAATGTTAAGTGCCGTCTGCATCCCATTCAGGCCTCAGAGCTGGAGGGAAGTGGCCTAAGTCTTGGCAGAGGGACAGAAGGGCTGTTCCCCAGTGCAGAGGTGGCTGGGAGCCCCAACGGGGAGCCCTGAGGCAGCGGGCCTGTCCCTTCCTATCCACTCAGAACTGCCGCCTGATGGTCCCCTCTGGCAGGTATGCACCAGGAGGCAGGGATTCCTGTCTACACCCAGGCATTCCATGCCCCAGGGCCCCACACTGGCTTCCAGAGGCCCCCCTCATACCCGCCCTGACTATTGGCTTTTTTTCCTGTCTCACATCCCCATTCCTCTACTTCAGGTGTTTCTTTCCCCTCCCAAATTTAATTTTTGGGAAATTAAATTTGTTAATTACCCAAAAATTAATGAATTGCACTCAAATCCTTGTGATCAAGGGCTGCTCCTGGGGAAAACCCAAACTAAGACCTCACATCTGAGCTGCCCAAGAGCCACTCCCCGCAGAGCCTGGTGTCGGGAAGAGCCTGGGGAAGCCTCCTCCCTGTCACTGCTCCACACCCTGACACCCTTGCAGCTCCATCGATACCGGTCAGCCTTGTCATACTTAAACTGAGCGTCAGCTGTTGGTCAGTTTTATCATTTCTTTGGCTTAAATAAGATGCACTGAGCATCCACTATAGCCAAGCACAAAGATGAGTTCTCTATTCACATTCAAAGCAAGTGTTATTACCACTTCACAGAGACAGAAACTGAGGTGGAGGGAAGGGATGTGCCCAAGGTCACCCAGGGTCTGTGACTCCAGATCCTAGGTCCTGTGTCCTTCTCTCTCTCCTCCTCCCACCTTAAGAAGAGAGATGACGCTGGGCTTGGAGTCAGACAGACCTGGGTCACATGCACCAATCAAATCAAAAGCCCATTCATGGGCAGGGAAACGCTAGATGGAGAGGGATGAGTGACGGACGGGCATGAGAGCTGCAGATCTGGGTGTCTGCTCCAAAGGTCTCCAGAGTCTCTGCAACCCTGCCTGGCCCTCCCTCTACAAGTCCAGGCTCACCTGTCCCCTTGGGCCCCGTCCCAGGATCAGATCTAGGGCGGAGAAAATCTCCAAAACAGATCAAAACCATTTAGGTCCTTCTGAGAATCCAGAAATAGACAGTGTGCCAGACTGCACATCTGCACACGCCCCCAACTGTGTCTCCCCAGACCCTGGAGCAGGCCCTTCCCCAGGCAGTGTGAGTCAGGCCGAGAGAAAGCTGCCAAGGTGAGGTGCCCTCCCCTGCCTGACAGGCCCGGCCCTGGGGCCTTGCACAAAGCCTCTTCTGCAAGCACCTGCCTTTCCGGACAGAATGAAACACACAGTGCTCAAGCCTCAGCTTCCCGATTTACAGACTCCATGGCCTCGTGAAGCCTCAGTTTCCTCCTCTGTAAAGTGAAAAAATCCTAACAAGCTAACAGTGCTGCTGCAAAGACCAAATGAGATAACCTTTCCTTTTATAAATTTTAAAGTGTCAGGCAGATGCCAGCTACTATTTCATATGTATTAAGATAAAACCTGGGCTGGGTACAGTGGCTCACGCCTGTAATCCCAACAGTTTGGGAGGCTGAGGCAGGTGGATCACCTGAGGTCAGGAGTTTGAAACCAGCCTGGCCAACATGGTGAAAACCCATCTCTACCAAAAAAAACAAAAATTAGCCAGGCATAGTGGCAGGCGCTTGTAATCCCTGCTACTTGAGACTGAGACAGGAAAATTGCTTGAACCTGAGATGCAGGGGTTGCAGTGAGCCAAGATCGTGCCATTGTACTCCAGCCTGGGCAACAGAGCAAGACTCAGTCTCAAAAAAAAAAAAAAGATAAATCCTGGCCTATCCTCGTCACCAATCTGCTGCTTCGCCCATCCTCTGACAGCAGCCTCCTACCTGGTCTCCCTGCCTCCCTCCCTTCCCCATCATCAGGCCACTTCTTTTGCTTCAGTGGAGTCAAGTTTGAGCTCCTGTGTGACGCATGAGCCCCAGACCCCATCACTTGCTGCTTTAGGTATCAGGTCCTTGTACAAGCTGTTCCCTTTGCCAGGAATGCATATGCCTGCATTTTTCCCACTCAGCAAAAGCACAGCCATCCTTCAGAATGCTCCCAGCTCAGACCTTACCTCCTCATGCAGCCAGCCTGCCCCTCCTGACACCCGCTCCAGTGGGGGATGGCCCCCTAAGCTGAGATCTGAGAGAGCAGCTAACATCACCAAGTCTTTCCTATAAGCCAGGAACCCTTTTAAACTCCCTGTATGGGGTAACCAAAGAAAACCTCACGATGACTGTTTGAAGTGATGCTATTAGCCCCAGTTGACAGGCAAGGAACGGAGGCCCACGAAGTTGCCAGGACCTGCCCAAAGCTGCGGGCTGGGTGAATGGCTGAGCTGGCACTCAGATGAAGATGGACCAGCTCCAGAGTCAGCTTGGTGCCCCCTCCTGCCTCCCATCAGATGCCCAGTCATCTGTTCTCCCAGAAGGAGCCTGCTGCTGTAAGAATTCCCTCCTCCAGACCAAACACAGTGTTGTCATTGGGTGGTGCACAAATCTGGTGAATTTCAGCAGCCTCTGCAGCACAGGGATGGGAGAAATGAGCTGGGCCCGGGAAAGAAGCCCAGGCTCCAGGCTCACCACGGCCACACGGTGGCCAACCTCCCTGAATCTCAGCTTCCTCACTTGTAAAGCAAGTACGCTGGGTCAGATCTGCACCGTCCAGTGTGGAAGCCACTAGCTACATGTAATTATTTAAATCTAAATTAATTATATGCAATACAATTTAAAATTCAGTTTCTCAATCAGACTAGCCACAATTTGAGGACGCGATTGCCGGACTCATCCGCCGCTAGCAGCCACCGCCCAGGACAGCCCAGATGTGGAATATCCACCTCACTGCAGAAAGTCCTCTAGACAGCTCCTTGCTAGATGGTCCCTCAGAAACCCTCCATCTGAGCCTGACACCAAGGACCACCAGCCACACCCCACCATTGCCAAGCCCCTCGACTCACAGATGATGCGGCCAGAGGGAGCCGGCTCTTCGGCAGTCTTCTTGGCAAGCCTTCTGCTTGCCCTGCGGACAACGCTTTCCTGTTTAGTCACCGGAGAGTTCTTTTGGGCTGAGACTTGGGGTCCCGGGGAGGATGGGGCGATCTGGCTGCGCCGCACCAGCTGAGAGCTGGCGCCAGAGCCCGTAGGCGTGGAGAAGTTATCTGGCAGGATGGGGGCCAGTATCCGCTCCTGCCACTGAGAGTCTGGAGAGCCCGGCAAGTCCTGTGGGCCAGGGGAGACCTGTGCAATCCTGAGCTTGGACACAGACCGCCCCGTCCCGACCCCTTGACCCTTGGGGTCCTGGGGTGTAGCCATCAGGGAGCTCACTGTGACAGACTCCAGTATCCTGGCCTTTGACTTCTTGGGTGTTGATTCCTCATCTGATGCCAGGATGCCCTGGGAGGCTGGAGCTGTGGCTGCGGCTGAAGCTGGAGTTAGAGGCAGAGCATGCGGCAGAGGCTGGGCGGACGTGAGCTGGGTGAGGTGCTGCTCAGCATTCTGGCGCTCGCTGTTGCCAATCTCCACCACGGGCACCAGCTGGCACTGGGCACGGCTATCCTCGGGCTTCTTGGTCAGCATCGTGGGAGACTCAGGGGTGGGCGAAGGTGCAGCCAATGTCAAGGTGGCCGCGGCCGCTGCAGCCGCAGCACGGGTTACACGCCGTAGGACGGAGCCATTCTCCCCTACCAGTGTGGCCAGCTTCTCCACACTGTCCTTGCGGCGGAGACGACGGGAACTCAGCTGGCTGCTCCGAGACTTTCTGCGGGATAACCTGGCAGAGGCAGCAGGGCAGAGCTGATGGACAGAAGGACAGGGTACCCCAGTCTCCCCAAGAGCCACCAGCTTGGATGGAGTATGATGAGAGAATCTGAAGGCAAGAGATCTGGGTTCCAGCCCAAACTCTGCGACCTCTAGCCATGAGGCCGTTCTTGTCTGAGCCTCAGTCTCCTAACTGTAAACTGGGGATCATGCCACAGTCCTCACAGAACTAGCTATGAAGATTATATTCATCCAAACCTCCGGCTGACTTAAGTCACACAGCACCGAGCCCCCACTGAAAGCCTTACACACGCTCTCCCTTAATCCAAAGCACACCCCTGAGAGGTAGGGACCACTATCCCCATCTTAGGCGTGAGGAATGGAGGCTCAGAGAGGCAGAAATTCAATTCAAAGCCATAACGTTCTGCTAAGGGCAGAGCTGACGTTCACACCCAGGCCTAACCCCTAGACCCAGCCTCTTTCCCTAGCACTCTGCAGCCCTAGCCATTCCTGAGGGGAACCAAAACAAGCATGACAATATGAGGGCGGGGACAAGCTGGGTGGGCCGCACCCCTGGTCACTCTCAACTAACAGAAGGTCGGCTTCTCTTTCCCATCCTCCAGGGCCCAGATCAAACACCACCACTCCCAACACACAGCTCTGGACTCCAGGGTCATGGGTCATACTATAGTTCCCGATGGCATTCCAACCCCTCTCAGCATGGCCCACACAGTACCCGCAGCGGTGCCCACCACCCCTCCTACAGGTTGCTACTTCCAAATCAACACCTTTGGAATGGAACTCTTCCCAGATGGCACCAAGCCTCCGCAGAGCCCAGTGCCCTGCCCACGCTCCCCCTGCCCTTCCTACCTTTTCCTGATGGGGTCCCTGTTTTCATCCTCAACATAAGAAATACGCCTCTTCTTCCGTCGGTTCTTCTGAGAAGGTGTTTTGGGCATCAGCTCTGGCTCTTTGCTGAATTCTCTGTTTGGCACAAGGAGGGTATCACTTGAGGGTGCCTGGGAGCCGCTGGTCCCCTCTCCCACCCAGCCTGGCCCCTGCCCATTTCTAGCAGTGACAGGTCAAGCTGGGGTGACCAGCACCAACCGAGCTGTCCAAGGCCATGTGCAAGTCACCTATGGGCACTTAGGGCTTCCTCCCAGAGACACAGCAGGGAAGCAAGCTCTCAGGCACACGCCCAGAGCCCCACACCCTGAGAGGCTCAGTCACCACCTATGGTGAACAGGCAAGGGACTTCAGCCTCTCCTGCTGACTCTTCCCAGGACACTAGATCAGGCCCCTAGCACACTGCACAGAGTATACAGCAGGGAGCCCTGACAAGCCGTCTGTTTTGCGAGGCAGGCAGGCAAGAGGGCCTGTTATATCCCCAAGACCACAGCAGTCCAGACAGACCCTGGTGTCCCCAGCCCCTGACTGGGCCCCGGCCTTCACCTGGTGAACATGCGCATGGCCTCCTCCTGGATCTCCTCAAGCCACACCAAGTCCTTATTGTCCATGGTGCAGAGAAACTCCATGAGCTTCTGGTCACATAGCTCCAGCAGGTGAATGGGCCCTGGGGCTGTCGTCCCCATGGCGGCTCTGTCCGGTGAAGGCAGCGACAAGAGGCACAAGTTAGCGGCTCAGGGTAGGGGTCTGGGGCTTTCTCCAAGCTGCAGTATCCACCCCACCCACGACAACCACAAACACCCAGTGTCCAAACCAGAGCCCCTCTCTGCTCACAGCCACTCCCCAGAGCTGCAGAATTCCAAACACTAATCCCCTAGCCTCGTTTCTACGAAGAAGGACCCTTCTACTTACACTCTTCAAGTACCTCCCTGTCCCCACCCCACACGGCATGACCGATCCCAAAAGTCCATACTTCCCAGCCAATTCTGACATTGATGGTCTTCCTTACAAATAGCCTTTTCTGGGCTTACGATGACAGGGCGCTGCCATCTGCCTTCCTGGCCACCCCAGTGCCCCTTGCTCCCTGCCCAGACACAGTCCAGCCATCGCTCTTTGATAGGCACTCCTCTTACTACTCACAGTTAAGTGAGGGAGAAGACACAGCCACCCTGCACTACATGCACACTGACTCCAGACATCAGGCCAAAGAACATCAAACCCAACTGCCTCTTTAAAAGCCAGTGGACAGAAGGGGTTCTGTGTTCCAAAGGAATGAGTGAGAAAGTAGGGATCCAGAGATATGCCCTCAAGGGGCCTCCCTCACCCCTCTCCCTTGAGCTGAAATGCCCTCCAAATGGAGCGTAAAGAGAACATGAAGGGAACAGTAAGCAGTGCCTTGCTTTTGAGAAATTTTGCCAGCCAGACTCGGTGGCTCACGCCTGTAATCCCAGCACTTTGGGAGGCCAAGGTGGGCGGATCATGAAGTCAAGAGATCGAGACCATCCTGGCCAACATAGTGAAACCCAGCCTCAACTAAAAATACAAAAATTAGCTGGCTGTGGTGGCTCGTGCCTGTAGTCTCAACTACTTGGGAGGCTGAGGCAGGAGAATTGCTTGAAGCTGGGAGGCAAAGGCTGCAGTGAGCCGAGATCGCACCACTGCACTCCAGCCTGGTGCCTGGCAAAAGAGTGAGACTCTGTTTCAAAAAAAGAAAAAAAGAAATCTTTTTTTTTTTTTGTCCTTTTTTTTTCAAAGAAAAGAAATCTTGCCTACCAGCATTGAGCAAGGGAAAACACAAAAAGTGTTTTTTCCCACTTTCTTATAAAACTTAGCAACTCTGTTATCCTCCTTAAAACTTGTTAACAGGCTGGGTGCAGTGGCTCACACCTGTAATCCCAGCACTTTGGGAGGCCAAGGCAGGTGAATCACTTGAGGTCAGGAGTTCAGGCCCAGCCTGGCCAACATGGCGAAACCGTCTCTACTAAAATTACAAAAAAAATTAGCCAAAAATGGTGGTGTGCACCTGTAATCCCAGCTACTTGGGAGGCTGAGGCAAGAGAATCGCTTGAACCAGGGAAGCAGAGGTGGTAGTGAGCCAAGATCGCACCTTTGCACTCCAGCCAGGGCGTCACGGCAAGACTCTGTCTCAAAAAACAAAAACTCCATAACCATTACAAAAACCTCAAGCAAGGAAGAGGTACAGTCAGCCCCCCATACCTGTAAGTCCCACATCCATAGATGCAAACAACCACCAGTGGAAAATATTTAGAAAAAAGCTGCATCTGTACTGAACATGCATAGACTCTTTCCCCTTGTCATTATCCCCTAATAATACAGTATAACAACTATTTGCATAGCTTTTACATCATATTAGGTGTTATAAGTAATGTGGAGATACAAAGTATATAGGAGGATATGTGCAAGTTATGTGCAAAAACTATGTCATTTTATAACAGGGGTTTGAACAGCTGTGAATCTTGGTATCCAGAGGAGGTCCTGAAACCAATCCCCTGAAGGATATCAAGAGACAACCATATTCCACTACATCACAAGAGGGGCTCAACAAATATCCTAACAGGTGAATGAGGGAAAGAACAAAGGCCGGGCCCAGGGGCTTACACCTATAATCCCAGCACTTTGGAGGCCTAGGCAGGTGGATCACGAGGTCAAGAGATCGAGGCCATCCTAGCCAACAGGATGAAACCCTGTCTCTACTAAAAATACAAAAATTAGCTGGGCATGGTGGCGCGCACATGTAGTCCCAGCTACTTGGGAGGCTGAGGCAGGAGAATTGCCTAAAACCAGGAGGCAGAGGTTGCAGTGAGCCAAGATCACACCACTGCACTCCAGCCTGGGCAACAAGAATGAGACTCCGTCTCAAATAAATAAATAAATAGGAAAGAACAAAGGAATGGGTGGTGCCATGAATGACAGACTACATGCCTCAAGTGATGGCAGTGACCCATCCTGGATCAGTGTACCATCCTAATTTACCCCTTCAAAACCAAGAACCATGCACAGCTCAGCCTCCCGCTTACAATGGAAGACCTTGGAAGGAAGAGATAAATTGCTGACCCCTTGATCCCTCATGGGGCACAGCGCCAGGTCAGGTTTCAGGGACTGATTCAGGGACATACTAGCCTTTGTTCCTTAACAAGCTCTGCCCTGTGTCTGGAATACTGTCTCCCATTTTGTATGGCTCACTCCTCACGGCCTGGATCTCAGCTCCTCAGGGAAACCTGACCACCAATCTAAAGTAACCCCAGCCCCGTTCTCATCCACTGATTGCAATGCTCTGCATAGCACTTGCGTGCTTGTTTACCTGTTGCTTACCCCCTGTCTCTGCCTACTAAAAAATTGCTCTCTGAGGGCAAGCCCCTGTCTTGCTCATCACTGAATGCCCAGAGCACAGCAGTGCCTGGCAACAAGGAATACCTGTTGAATGAATTAATCCACCCATCAACTCTACACTTAGAAATAAACATCCTACAGGGCTGGGTATGGTGACTCACACCTGTAATCCTAGCACTTTGGGGAGGCTGAGGCAGGTGGACTGCCTTAGGTCAGGAGTTTGAGACCAGCCTGGACAACATGGCGAAAGCCTGTCTCTACTAAAAATACAAAAATTAGCTAGGTGTGTTGGCCCGCGCCTGTAATCCCAGCTACTGAAGAGGCTGAGGCAGGAGATCACTTGTAAGGGGGTAGGAGGGAGGGCGTTGTTGCAATGAGCTGAGATTGCAACATTGCACTCCAGCCTGGGCAACAAGAACAAAACTCTGTCTCAAGAAACAAAAAAAAAGAAAGAAAAGAAAGAAACACCCTACAGGTTCTCACCCCTACCACACTAGGGATACCGAATAAACTTAATCTGCACAGGTTAGAACTGGCCAACATATGTCTAAAGCCCCTGCTCCTAGACGCCAATGGCAGCAACAATCGGGTCCGGGCCAAATGGGCAGGATCGTACAGGCTTTGGGCTGAAACCTCAGCTCTGCAGCCAGCCAGTCATGGGCAAGGCCTTTTCACTGCCATCCCTCTTGCTTCCCCTAGTCCTTCTGCACCCACACTACAGTCCTGGCAAAGCGCAGGACCTCAGGCCAGGAAAGAGAAAACTTTAAGGAAGCCAAAGGTTTGCAAAGAAAAGCAAAAAGTGGCTAACTTTTTAAAAGATATTTGTTCAAATGGGCAAAGTGGATGAGAGCTTATTTGACAAAGTCCATGAAAGCATTTAGACTTCTTTCAGTGAGGAAGTTTGCTTTTAAGTAGACCTAGCGCAGCCATTTAAAAAAGGGATACAGTATGTTAAAACAGAGGTGACCCTGAAAATGGAGTCAGTGCACGAAGAATCAGGCTCCTGGAAAAGCAGCAAAAACCTCTTCTTCAGCCCATGTAAGCACCTGCACACAAAGAGCATCCAACGCCCACCAAGGGAGACACTCTCCAATCTTCCTCTCCAACACTCCTTCCACACCATACACCAGACTAGAGGCCCCATCGCCCTCTATGACTCCTGTCCTTTTGAGGGTGCTTTAAGTTGGGCGCCTACCACACCTCTGAGCAGAAAGCTCCTAACAGCTGCTCTCATTTACTGAGTCCTAGTCCATGCTCGAGTCAGACATCATCTCATTTAATTCTCACCACAACCTTGAGGATATGCATGCGCAGATGAGGAAACTGAGGCAAAGAGAAGTTAAGTCAAAGTCAACCGGTAAATCAAGAGCATAACCTGGATTTAAACTGTGCCCTTAACCCCTGGCTATTCCGCCTTCTAGATAACAACCTCTGAAAGCAGGCGCCCAGTCTTGACTCTGGGCAGCCCGGCGAGCCACCCATGTTAGCTGAACGGGGCTGAACCGCTGAAAGCGAACAGGCTTGGGGAGTGACGAGGGGCGGCTCAGCCTCCGGAAATGGTCAGTTTAAAATGCTGCTCAGCTGGGGGCGGGGGCGTTGAGAGAGGGGTTTAACTGTACAGAAACGCCATCTGGCATCATTCCACCAAACAACACAGTCGGTTTCGGGCTTCCTGCGCGTGCAAATCAACAATAATCCTCGCAGGCACAAAACAACGTGCTAGGCAGCTGGGAGCGGAGGGGATGGGGCGATGCTCTAGGAAGCTGGGGGCCTAGGTGGAAGGGGTGGGGAGCATCTCGGGCTCGAGAACCAAGGCAGGCGACCTCGCCACTTGCAAGGGGTGACCCTCATATGCCCAGGCAGCCAGGGGCGGGGATAGGGAGTTCCGACCCTAGTCCGGAGTCGGCAGGGACGGAGGAAAGGACCAGGGGAAAAAATCGCGAACCACCGCCTCCCAATCCCCACGCCCACGCGCACTCACTCGACTGCGCCGCGTCCCCTGAAAGCTGCTGCTATCCAAGTCTGGTGGTCTCCCTAGCTTGAAGACCCGCTTGCCCAGACCCGCTCGGCTCCGGGACTTCAGGGCTCACCGCACGGAAGCAGCAACTAGGAGACGCAGCGCGGGCGAAATCTATGATTTTCAAAACTGAAGGCTCAGCCAATCCTCGGCAAGTTTGTCTAGGCGATTGCAAAACTTTAAGCCAATCAGGTAACAGGAAGTACCAATCAGCCCTTCTATTGGCTGTATCGACTGGCAATCTGCGGGACTAAGAGGCGGAGAAAGGAAGCGAAAGACTTTAACCTCCTCAGCTTCCGGGAGCTCTTGCAGCTGCCAAGAGAGGAAGTAAACCTCGGCCCAGAAGGAGCGGTCAGGCCGGGAACTACAAATCCCGGCGTTCAGTGCGAAGGCCACGAGGGCTTTCTTTTCTTCTCCAAGCACCGTGGCAGTCTTCTGATCTCTGCTGCTGTTTTTTTTTTGTTTTTTTTTTGTTTTTTGTTTTTCATAAAAACATATACGTATATACTTACATTGCTGAAAGAGCAGCTTTTTAATGTAACAAGTGATCTAGGTTAAGAAGTCATAGGTTTCTCTTCCTATGAGAAAAACGTTCATAAAAATAGAAAACAAACAGCAACACAGAGGGAATAAAATTTCATTGTACTGAAACATATACAAATTAAGGCTATCTTGGTCTATAAACAATTTCGAAATTATGATGGAATAGTTCCACCAAATTATTTACATATAAGAATTCATGCCATCTGTTAAAGAATCAGTAGTGGGGCTCAATTCAAACAATATAATGCATTCTTACATTCAACTTACTACACTTAGCAGCTGTAAGGAGCGTAACTGTAACCTCGCTTCCTGAAATAGCATGAGTAATGTTAAAAATCCAAACCCGTGAGAGGGCAGGGCATTACAGTATTTGGCTCATGAATCGAAAAGCCTAATCGGTTATTTTAATTTAATCTAACTAGAACAAGATCCAAACATGAGAAGTTTTCTTTTTTTGTTGTTTTTGTTTTTGTTTTGCTACCATTTGCCAACTCACTGAGCACAACATGGTAAGTTTTCTTATTTTTCTTTGCTTCTGTAGTTTTAATGCCCTTTTGGTTTTCTGAGCAAGCTGAATACATCTGATAAATACTACCATTGGACAAAGAATCTAAACATTGAGATTTTTACTAAATCAAGGTTTCGAGTTGGCACAATGTTTTTACTAAGTTATATTTCAATTAGTTCATCTTCCCAATGTCGGGGGGAAGAAAAGGCAACCTAGTATGTCTTATAAAGAATCTCTGCTCTTTTGAGAAGTAAAAACAAAAACGCCTGTGAATTGCAACAGAGTACGTGTTTATCCAGAGCTCTCTGTCATCTCTTGGGTGACAGAATCCTTGGTTACCTACCCTGCTGGATAGGTAACTGGACGTTTCTTTTCTTTCATTCTTTTTCTTTCTTTCTTTCTTTTTCTTTCTTATTACGTTTTATTTATTTATTTTTTTAACAGTCCAGAGGTCTTTTTTTTTTTTTTTTTTAAACACCTATTATGCTATGAATTCATAGGGAATAGGTTCCAGCAGCCCAGGCTCCTTCCCATTGGTTCTCACAAAGTGTGCTTCTCTGGGTGGAGCAGGCTGGCACTTCAGTTGGACCCAGGTACCTTTCTCTTTGGCTTCTTTCTTTTTCTGATCATTTTCCTTCACACGTTTCAGGAAGCTATCTCGGCTCTTAGAGTGCTTGATGTGCTCAATACGCACATTAATTCTCTTGGCAAGAATCTTGCCCTTAACTTGTTTGTTTACAACAATGCCAACAGCATGCTGGGTAACATTGTAAACCCTTCCAGTTTTGCCATGATAACATTTGCGGGGCATTCCTTTTTGAACAGTACCCATTCCCTTGATGTCTACAATATCACCTTTCTTATAGATTCGCATATATGTGGCCAAAGGAACAACTCCATGTGTTCTAAAAGGCCTAGAGAACACGTATCGAGTGCCTCTCCTCTTTCCCTTTGTGTTCGTCATTTTGGCGAATTACTGGAAGACGGCGGTTCCGATATTATCTTTTAAATAGAGATGGGGTTTCACCATCTTGGCCAGGCTGGTCTCAAACTCCTGACCTCAGGTGATCTGCCCACCTCGGCCTCCCAAAGTGCTGGGATTACAGGCGTGAGCCACTGTGCCAGTCTGGACTTTACTTGAGAGCAGTGGTTCTCATCCAGTGGTGATTTTGCCCCGCCCCTGTCCCCCAAATTTGGCAGTGTGTGAATGTATTTGGGTTTGGGAAAAAGGGCTAGTGGTATTCAGTGGGTAAAGGCCAGCAATGCTGCTAAACACCATCTTGTGCATAGTACAGTCCCCACAGCAAGGAAATACCTGGCCCCAGATACCAGAATTGCTGCTGTTGAGAAACTGCTTTATACAAAGTCACTTTACTCTGTGAGTCAAGGTTGCCATTACCTGTGAAATAAGGCAGTTAAATCTTGAAAAGATTTGTACATCCACAATCAGCTAATAGCAGATCGTTTACCCTGTTCCTAGGTCATCTGCAGTATTTTTCCCCTCCCCGTCTTCCCTCTCTTTATCAATTCTGTTTTTGCCTTTGTTATTTTACTTAATTTACCAACTGACTCCATCGTATATGAGTAAATAATTTGTAACCAAATTAACTAAACATTTCTGAATTATTCTTTGAAGAATGTAAATAATTGGAAATCAGCTGAAACATACAAGGATATGTTACCTAACCGTTAATCATTTGCTCTATTAATTCTGGCATGAATATCTCAAACTATTTATTTGACTGTTACTGCAGAGAGTTTTCTACCCTGCGCAATGCACTTTAGTAAGTTTCCAAGGGGATTAAGGTCCGCCTTCCTCAAGAGAGGGAAAGGAAAACTAGCTGATGGCAGGTACATTCTCAAGCAGATAAAAGAAGTGCAAGCTGGGCGCGGTGGCGCACGCCTGTAATCCCAGCACTTTGGGAGGCCAAGGTGGGCAGATCACTCAAGGTCAGGAGTTCAAGACCAGCCTAGCCAACATGGTGAAACCCGTCGCTACGAAAATACAACAACAAAAAATTAGCCGAGCATGGTGGCACGCATCTATAAGCCCAGCTATTTGGGAGGTTGAGGCAGGAGAATTGGTTGTACCTGGGAGGGGAAGTTGCTGTGAGCTGAGATTGCATCATTGTACTCCAGCCTGGGCAACAAGAGTGAAACTCTGTCTCAAAAAAAAAAAAAAAGAAAGAAAGAAAAAGAAAAAGAGAAATTGCATACAGGACACATCTAAGAGAATGCAAAATGGACTCCCTTAAAACTCTCCTTTTATTTTCCCCAAAGTCTTCTTTTTACCCCCAGTGGGGGAGGTATTTCCTGATGTGCAGACCAGTGGACTGGATGCGGCATCCTCCTTGCACTGAAGGACTCTACGGTAAAAGCTGCAAAGGTTCACCACTCCATCTCAAAACACAAAAACAAATAAAGAAAACCCTGTGTACAATATATAGCAGCATTGTACTCCCACCTTTTGGTTAGTTAAGTTGAACTCAGACTGTATTTAAGAGGTGACTGGGTCATGAGGGGGCTTTAGCCCTGTGAAGGGATTAATCCATTCATATATTCATGGATCAATGGGTTAACGAATTCATGGGTTGCCATGGGAGTAGGACTGGTGTTTTATAAGAGAAAGAGAGACTTAAGCTATTGTGCTAACCCCCTTGCCATGTGATACCCTGTGCCGCCTCAGGACTCTGCAGAGAGTCCTCACCAGCAAGAAGGCCTCACCAGATGCAGGCCCTTGGCCTTGGGCTCCTCGGTTTCTATAACAGCAAGAAATAAATTCCTTTTCTTTATAAATTACCATCTTTCAGGTATTCTGTCATGAGCAACAGAAAAGAGGCTAAGACACTAACGCATTTATTTTCCTAGTTTAGATTTACACCAGGGGCCAACAAATTAGAGCCCTTAGGTCAAATCTGGCCTACCATGTTTTTGTATAGCCCAGAGGCGAGAATGGTTTTCACATTTTTCAATGGTTGAAAAAAAAAAAATCAAAACAAGAATATTTTGTGACAGATGAAAACTCTAAGCATCCATAAATAAAGTTTTATTGGAACACGGCCAATATTAGACAATGCTGTACTATCTACGGCTGCTTTTGAATAGCACAGTAAAGACCATTTCTGGTACTTATCATTTAGAACTGCTGCTTGGTGCACTACAAATTGCAATGGCACAGTTATAATTCAACAGCATTTCAAGTGCCACACGTATTTCCATACCATGAGTTTTTTGTTGTTGTTTATTTTTATTTTTTTTCGAAGACAGAGTCTTGCTCTGTCACCCAGGCTGGAGCGCAATCTTGGCTCACTGCAACCTCTGCTTCCCAGGTTCAAGCGATTCTCCTGCCTCAGCCTCCCGATTATAGGCACTCTCCACCACACCCAGCTAATTTTTGTATTTTTAGTAGAAATGGGGTTTCATCATGTTGGGCAGGCTGATCTCGAACTCTTGACCTCGTGATCCACCCACCTCAGCCTCCCAAAGTGCCGGGATTACAGGCATGAGCCACTGCGACCAGCCATACCACAGTACTTTTAAACTACTAGTGCAAACCCATCAGCTCAAACAAAACAAAGGTGGATTTAGAATGTTGTGCTATTAAGAAACAGTGGAGTGTGGATTATTTTATCTAATTAGATGGCAAAGCAGTGTGTTTATTAGGCAGTGATAGTAAGCTGTGCTAAAATAATATGATAAATAGCAGCATTACCAGACTAAGCACTTATCATAATATTCCCAAATCACAGGAAAGCGATGTTAAAAAAACTTACACAATTTAAAACATTTTATCTTCTCACAGCAGAATTTCTTCACAGAAATAAAAAATGAAAATTTGACTACAACCAAAGTAAGTTTTCTAGTGCCTCACTTGCTCACCAAGCCAGGAAAACTGTTTCCTGCAGCCGATTTGATTAAATTGTGTTTTATTGAAGCAGCCAAAGTAATGTGTCCAGAGAAAATAAACTCTTAGCCTAAGTCAGTTCAAGATGGCTCACACCTGTAATTCCAGCACTTTGGAAGGTCAAGGCGAGAAGATCACCTAAAGTCAGGAGTTTGAGACCAGCCTGGGCAACAAAGTGAGACCCTCATCTCTACAAAAAATAAAACTGATCATGGCAAAATTAGCTGAGCATGGAAGCATACACCTATAGTCCCAGCAACATGAGAGGCTTAAACAGGAGGATCACTTGTGCCCAGGAGCTGCACTCCAGCCTTGGTGACAAAGCAAGAAGTTCCCTCTAAAAAAAAAAAAAATGTAAACTATTAGCCTTTTGGTGAGAACAGTTGCTCAGAGAGCTGAGGACATTGGGAGCAATATCGATAGTTGTAGTGGGCCAAAGAAAAGCCTTCAAAAATATATATGCATGTCAAGTTAATCCACTTCAAATCCCTAGAAACTGTGAACGTGACCTTATTTTAAAAAAGGACCTTTGCAGGTGTAATTAAGTTAAGGATCATGAGATGAGATAATCCTGGATAACTTCAGTAAGTCCTAAATCCAATGATAAGAGACATAGAGAAGAAGAGAAGATGATATGAAAAATGGAGGCAAACATTGGAATGATGTGGCCACAAGCCAAGGAAACCAGAAACCACCAGAAGCTGAAAGATGCAAAGAAGAATTCTGCCTCCCAGCCTCTAAAGGGAGTGTGACCCTACCAACGCGATAATTCAGACTTCTGGCCTCTAGAAGAATGTTGTTTCAAACCAAACAAGTTTGTGGCAATTTGTTGCAGCAGCCCTGGAAAACTGACACAGTAATTAATTTTTTAAAAAGTCAAAGGACTTTAGGTAGTTTTTCTTGGCTCTTCATGAATTGACAGATATTACTGATACTTCTCAGTTGTTGTTTACTTGAGGAGTCAGTGTGGAGGCTTACATGACTGCAGAGTTAGCCTCTATGAATAGACTGCATGGAATAACTATAGGAGAGAATATTTTCTTAAAAGTTGAGGAAACACTAATTCAGTACAACCTGAAGTGGAATCTACCAGGATGTGTTACAATTGATGGTGGTAAAAATGTATAGAATAGATAAAAATTTACAAAGCTTGTGACAGTGTAAAGTGTTAAAAAAAACCTATGATTATTCATTATATTGTATATCAGCAGATACTTTCCTGAAAAGTCAGCTGCTTTACATGTTTCTCATGACATCAAAAGTCAAAACAAGAATAAAAATCTCCACTCCCACACAAATTCACAGAAGATACATTTTTCAAACTTAAGCCACAGTTCCAGTCAACTGTGCAACTGAGGAGCTTCTGATTCAGTGCAGGCTTAGCCTGGGAGAGTTCTTGGCTTTGCCCAGGAAATAAGTCAAGGGCCAGCCAGAGGTTTTACTGAAGTGGCAGTGCACAGAGCTGGGCTACCCCATAAGCAGTGCAACCAGAGTAACAGCTCAGAGGTAGTTATGCAGTCATACTTACAATCACTTTTATTTACATGCAAATTAAGGGGCAGATTATGCAGAAATTCCTAGAAATAAGGTGATAACTTCCCAGTTGTCTCGCTGCCATGGAAAAGGGTGGGAACTTTGGGGTGTTGCCATGGCAATAGTCAACTGGCATGGCTCACTCATAGGCATATCTTATTATTTTAATTTCATGGGTACATGTGCAGGATGTGCATGTTTGTTACATAGGTAAGAGTGTGTCATGGGATTTTGTTGTTAATATGGTTTGGCTCTGTGTCCCCACCCAAATCTCATCTTGAATTGTAAAACTCCTGTATTGAGGGAGGGACCTCTAATCTCCATATGTCAAGGGAGGGAGGGAGGTGATTGAATCATGGGGATGGTTTCTCCTCTGCTGTTCTCATGACAGTGAGTGAGTTCTCACCTGATCTAATGGTTTTATAAGTATTTGGAAGTTCCTCCTTCACTCTTCTCTATTCTGCTGCCTTGTAAAGGTGTTTGTTTCTCCTTCACTTTCTGCCATGATTGTAAGTTTTGTGAGGCCTCCCCAGCCATATGGAACTGT